AAGACTGTTACCCTGCCGATCAGAATCTGGCTTCTTGTACATCTGTGGAAGTTATTAGCTGTGTTAAGGATAATGTAGAAGCATCTACCTATGCTAATAAGCCCCTGCCATGTGCTTATTTTCATTTTAATTCTTAAATTCTGTATAGATGAAGGTACTCAGATGTTCAAGATTAATCTTTTCCAGAGCCATGTAAATTTTCAGTACAAACTTTAAAAGCTGGTATCTGGCCATCTACATTAGTGCAATCCACTCTGCACATAGCACTTACAAATTTATCGGGCCTGCTGTCCCTGGAAGGAGAGCCTTCCAATGATGCATCCCTCACACCCAGCATTGATTCTGACACCTGTTCTCATAAAACTGAGAAACAATTTCACTTTCTCAGTTCCAGTTAACATGGCCAATTTGGCAATTCAAAAGATTACCCTTGTTCACTGTGGTAGACAGAGAAAACCACGCCTGCTGCTTATCCCGCCCTCCAGGACTCACCAGGGCCAGCGGCCCAAGGTGCTCAGTCCAACACGAGGCTCTGCTTGCTCCTCTCAGATTCTTCCTCCGGACCCCGAGCATCCCCCTCAGGGTTCCCAGAGGCACCTTTGGTATCACACATCCAGCTCCTAAGTTGCAGCTGATTCTCAGCTTTACAAATGTATGCCACAGAAAACTAACTTTAAAGTTTAAAATTACCAACAGAGCATTCATGACATGTGTGACCTGGAGAAAGCAGGGGACTTTCTAACCATTCCATTTATGTTCTTAGGGTGACTTTTGTGTTGGTTTTATAAAAGCCATATATACATATCTGATCATCTCAAAACAGGAAAGGGCACTTATTACCAACTCTTCCAAGAATTTATCATTCAAACCACTTCAAGTATTGTTTAAACACATTCTTTTTTATTTGGTTTTTGAGACAGGGTCTTGGTATGTAAAGGGTGGCCATGAACTCAAGGTGATCCCCCTACCCCCTACCAAGATCCCTCAGTGCCTGGATTACAAGGTGTGTGCCAGCTTTTTCAATAATTTACATTTTGTTAAACTGAAGTCAGATCTTGCCTAGATTTTCTAAATTGTTCTTGGTAGCTGTTATATAAAATTGCTTAAAACTGGTAAAAAAAATCGTGTCTTTAGGTTTTGGATTCATATTAAAATCAGAAAGTCTATTTTAAAAAAGCTTGTAAAATGTGAGTTCAGTCATCCTGTAAGACAGATCCCAGGAATCAAAATTAATTTTATTAACTTGTTCTTTTGACTTCTTACCTGGTTTACTCAAATAATCCTTAGTAACTTTTAGTATTAGTGTAATCCTTTCAGTATTGAAGTGGCTGCATCTATTTTATAGTGGACACCACTATTTAAAGTGGGAGATTTGCTAATTACCATGGGTTGCAAATCACAAGTAACTTTAATCCCTCCATCCTTTGGTTTTGGAGACAGGGTCTTCCTATGTAGTTCAGGATAGCCTTGAACTAATTATGTAGCCCAGACTGGCCTCAAAATTGGGGTGACCCTCCCTCTTGATTAGCTTTCTGAGTGCTAGGATCACAGATGTGTGCCACCACATTCAGCTCAATCCACTTTAAAAGCCTCACTTTCATTAATGACTCATAAACATTTGTCACCTGAATGCTAAAAAGCCACGTCTGAATATGAATGCATTATTTTTTGATGCCTGTGGATTGAATTTACTTAGAACAAGTAACACTGTTTTATCTAATAAACCTCTGAAGGGGAAAAACATTAAGATGTTATACACAAGTACTGAGTCTTCAGGAGTAATAATTATGTATTGCAAACATGCACCAGTAAAAACAAAGTATCATAATAAATCCTCATGTATCTCTCCTGATATAATCTAGCCAGTGAAAACTGGCTATGCCACCCCACACGGGCAAAACAATCTGATAACCCAACCAAATAATCCAAATCTAGCTAAAAATAGTGCTTTTAGGCCTATTAATCTGGTTTGGAATGTGTATGATTAACTGCAAGGACTTGATTGTAACCAGTATTACTGCATACATACACTAATAAAAATTAAAGTCAAAATTTTTAGTATGTAGCTGTTTATTAAGACTTGTATTACCACACACAGGATAGCTCCAAGGATGGATATGGAAAAGAACGAAATGAGAACAAAAGAAGCTTAGGGGTAACTGTAGCACACACAATAGAAAAGTCATAGCTGAGTGTGGTAGAAGCCTGTAAATCCCAGGACTAGGGAGACTGTGAGGCAGGATTGCTGAGTTTGAGGCCAGCCTGAACTCCAGGGAGACTGTCTCAAAAACCAAAACCTAAAATAATTATTTATGCAGTACTGCAATCTGCATGTCTGAACATAATCTTAGTGACCTGGGAATACAAGGTCAAGTTATGTGGCCAGGACAAGGTAACTTATAAAAACGTCTGAGAAATTTACTGAGACACCAATGATTAAGTAGAACACATACATGTTACATTTCCTGGTTGAGACTAACTCTAAAGGCTAAGCTTTTAAATGCTATCTACTTTAACGATTCCTGTACTCCACTGAAATTTGAGAATGTTACGAAAATTTCCTATTAACTTTTGATGTGACTGACAATTACTTCTGAACAGGTTTAGTTATATCATTTCAGATATGTAATGAAATCATAAGGAAAAATACTACTACTCAACTGCTGTAATTTCCTTCAACTTGCTGTTATGTGCGGTCTTACTTGGTAAAGCTGGCTCCCAGGCTAACAGGACTGTATAGCACTGTGAATAGAACTTAATCAAGGCACAAAGTGATTATTTAACTTTCACTTTAGTACTGGAATACAATGCACTGAGAGAAAACACAAACAGTGCTCTTTGCTGTAAGCTGGAAACTGGAGGTGTGGAAACCAGTGTATTAAGATGGGTTTTCCATATAGCTGCACATTTAAGTAGACTGGACAAACAAGCAAAATAAAATGGTTTTGTGAACTTCCCAGTTTCTTTTCCTTAAAAGCTTGCTGCCTAAAGCATATACACTATTTTAGGTAACTTAAGGGTAGTTTTTGCTAATCAAGTCAAGAACCACTTTCATTCTCCTCAAAATTACAATACTAGGGTCACTGTATTTTGTACATTCAAGTAAAGATCAGTATCAAATTAAAGTTTTTGTACAACTTCCAACATGTAGGTGAACAGACCACATAGTCTTTCTGACCCATGCCATTTACCTAAAATGCATGTACAAGAACACCAGTGGATATTAAGACAAGATAGCTATGCTTAATGAATATGAAACTCATCTTGGAAGGATGTGAGAATATTACCTACCAAAAATACAACAGCAGTATGCTTACTATCTTGCTATTACTAAGCAGATATTTGTCTAATTTTATTCACCTGCTAGGAACTTCCTTTAACGCAAACATCTGCAAAGACAGGCCAGTGAAAAAGATTCCCATCACTTATAGCTTAAAAGTTTCAAATTTGAACCTTTTCACTGTAGAACTTGAAGTAACCAATCTCCTTAAAACTGTTTCTTTTCTAGTCTAGACATTAATTTAGGACATTAAAGTTAGCAAAAGCTAGGGGTGGTGACACACACCTGTAATCCAGCACTCAGAAAGCTGAAACAGGAGGATCACAAGTCCGAGGCCAACATGGGCTACACAGTGAAGGCCAGGAAAAAGCAGCTTCAACTAGAGGACCCTGTCTCAAGAAAACAAAAAAACAAAAGCAAGCGCTACATTCCAGGCAGTTTCAAGTGCTGTGTTCACTCCTGAAGAGTCAACATCTTCATTTACTTAATCTTTAACAGCCTGATGCCATCCTGAAATAACTTGCCTAAGACACCTTGGTTCTAATGTTCATGATCCCAACCACTACACTGTTCAAAACGAAGTTCACCTTTCCTCTACTAACACCCATCCTATGGAACACCATCCTCTGTCAAACCGGAGACCCTAGTTTTACAGAGTAGGCTCACTGTAAGATCAGACTTGAAAAACTAACCGTGACTGTCCCAGCCAAACTTTCTGGGTGGAAATGGTGCCCAGAATTTGTGCTCAACGGAAACAGTACCTTTAAAATGAATGCATTACGAAGCTGAAGCCTTGAGTGAGAACTGAGGAAACACGCCCTGCTGATCAAACCCCTGTAGTGTCTAGTAAAAAGTGAGTATGGGACACACACTACCATCTCTAGCTACTATTCAGAGTCCTCTGTAAATGGGAGTTTCGGGTTTTTCTTTTCATTTAAGTCTTAGTACTGATTTTAAAACTTGTCAGCTGGATCTAAATTTACCAAATTTTCATTGGGACTTTTTGTAAAATTGGAAAACTAAGTTCCCTCTCAGTATACTAGGATTTCCAATGTTACCAAGATTACCCTTGATATTGTGGATACTATCTACATTTTAGCACATGGACTTCAACCCTAAACATCTCCACAGGAAGCAAAGCAGCAGCACAGAGAGAACAGTCAGATCCAAGTAAGCCAGGGTAAATACTGTCCCCCATACTCGGTCCCTGAGAAGAGTGGTTCTGCTCTTGGCTTCAGCTGCCCTGTCCGGCAAAGTCAGCATGTTACATCTGCCATTATCTGGCACAAGAGACACCCACAAAGATGAGCCCATGGGCCCATCTCCACATTAGAGCCAAAGGCTAAAAATAACTTTCTGTAAACAGTCATGCCTACTTTTGTCTGCAGGGTTTTAAATCATTAAAGTAACAGATTAAATCACAACGTGGAAAAAAGTGTAATGTTAAATTTCATACCTTTCTCAAGTTTTGACAATTTTATCTTAACAATGCCTTTTCAGTTCTTCAAAAATAAATTGCCTTTTATGTACCAGACTTGAAAATATCTCAAACTCATGGTGTTCACTTGACAAGAGTTCAAGAACTCCAGTGGAAAATAAAATTTACACTATAGCCATGCAAAGTCTACAAATGTAACTATAAAGTTTAGTATGAAACATTTTCTATTTTTTCCCTGTACAGTTCTACCTAAGGCTTAAAAACCCAATGAACAAATGGAAGTTTCCCTCTGTACATGGCTTTTATTATTTACATAATACAATATAGCATCAATGCTGAATAGCATGATTATGTGCAATACATAAATATGAACTATCTGTACACATCTGCAAATCTAACTCAAACTAAGGTACATAAAACTGAAAGCAAAACCGAATGCTTTAATAAAAATAAAAACTAGGACCAAACACTGCAATAAATCAGAAGTAGTGCCTCGTGTACATACTTAACTATTTACAGATGAAAACAGGCATTACCACAACACTAACCTAACTATGCTCATTTATATATAAAAAACACAAGTTTCATACATCACAAGAAACCTTCCATTATAACACAGAAGTGATATTACCAGACAAGCATCAGTGAAGTATACTGCCTTTTCTAGTTGTTATTGTACAATGCTGTAGATAATGCAGCCCATGCAATACACCCAAGAACACTAGAGTCCTACACCCAAGTACAATTAATATGATAAAGCAGCCCTCTGCAAGTGGTGCTGGATACCACTAAGAAGTCTACTGCAGCCATGTTGGTTATGATTTTCCATGCAGAAGGGTACAATTACATTAACTGAAGTCTTTAAAAAGCTTTAAACATTCTTTCTTGAACCAAAACATTCAACAAAAGATACACATGAAAAATTAACTGTTCAGATACCTTTGCAACTTAAAAATTCAGATGCATGTTATTCAAGAGCTGCTGTATATGAAAACCAAACGCAGTTTTAAATTTCTTCTTGTAAAGTGATTAATCCTAGTGCAGTTCTGTGCTATACATTTTTAGCAATGAGAATAATGCAGAAATCTTCTGGTGCAGGCCAGCATAAGCTTCAAAGATTATCTCAAAACCCTGTTGTTGGCTTGGTTTTACTTACAATCAGTTGTGATGTATATCTGTCACAGAATGTCTTATTAGATAGCAAATAGAATACCAACTGAACTGGGCTTACAAATGGCACCAACACTTGTTTCACAGAAAGCAGGGTGTGATCCTTTCATAGCTTTCATTCTGCTTTCAAAGAACATGTGGAAATTAAGAGGGTGAAAAGTTTAACTATGGTAGAAGTAGACTGCCAGTCCTCTTCTGGTGTACCATTTAAAAAACAAATACAGGCACATAACACTAGCCAAGATTATACCTTGATTACATTCCCAAAAGGCAGATATGCTGCAAACATGCAGAGATTTCATTTATTTTGTTTGGCACATGGGAATTAATTTTTTTCTCCCTGTTATCTGTTACTTTAATTTGCTGTGTAATTTTCATTCAATTTTATTCAGGGGAGGGCATATACATTTTGTAGGGCTGTATCTATCCAATTCTGCCTGTAACAAACACCCAAACATCCTAAAATACCAGTTGTAAGACAGACAAGTGTAAAGCAAAACTCTGGAGAACATCAAAGGAAAATGGCCATGCATCTGCTCTTTAATGTTTTCCTACGATATATTAAAATAAAAACAAAGTTTCAGTCTCTTCACAAGCACTAATTTATATTCTCTGGATTTTTTCAGCCACAACAACTGGGTTTTCTTTTCTGATTTTTGCTGCTGCTTCTGCTTTGTAATCATATGGACAGTTGTGCTTGTCAGAGTAACGGTGAAGTCCACAAAACAAATTTCCACATCGGCAGTCAAATCCTGTACAAACAAGAGGAAGCCATGTCACTTGGGAACTTGTGGCAATTAGAGCCTTACTGACTATAGAAAAGGACCCTATTGCCATCGCTTTACAACAGGACAGTATCAAGTAACTATGCTTAGTCTCATCTCTAAGAGTAACAGGGGTAACCTGAAGCCCTAAGTGCTTGGTAGGCCAAAACACAGCCAAAAAATAAGATGGGCTACCTACTGACTAATTCTACCAGGCTGTTTTCCTTCCAGCAACGCTCAAAACACTAAGACAGAACTCACGCAGGTTCCAGAGTCAAGCTGAATTTCACATAGCCCTGTCACACTATTTGGCAACTGTGTAAATATTTCCTCTCAAGAGAGAACTAGATAAAAATCAACTACAAAATTCTGAGGCTTAAAGTAGAAAATGTCTAGAACATTTCATGTGCAGGGTTAGGAGCCCACTTAAGGTTAATAATAACCATGAGATTAGAGGCAGACACAGTAACACACTATCTCTCACCCACTTTACTTTCATCCCTTTTCTTAGTAGCCTCTTAACCTTCCATCCCTTAATGTTCTTATAAAAACATGTCACACTGCTCAGTCCTTTGGACACTATCTATCGTAAGCAGTCTTAATACCTGTAAGGCCAACTTTCTTTCTACACATGAAACATCTGTTCTTCTTTGGTTTGGGCAATTCAGGAGCTTTTTCTTCACTTTGAGAAGTACTGGGCTGAGAAACTGATGGACTGGGCTGAGTAACAACTGAAAAGGAAGGGTAAAAATTTAGAAACTTACTCTTCAGATCACAGGCTGACAATGATCTTAAGTTAAAAAAAAAACTAAGAGACACAGTAAGATTTATAGATCACTAACACTATTACACTATTAGCATATCCAAACTTCCTAGAGTTTAAGAAGCTTTCCAAGAATGGGCGTGGTGGTGCACACCTGTAATTCCAGCACCTGTGAGGTTGACGCAGGAAGATCACTGCAATTTGATGCCAGTTTATACTACAGAGTAGGACAACCAAATTGAAACTCTCAAAAAAGCAGCTTTACAATTAGGACCTTTAAAAAAGAACCTCCCACTTTAATAATCAGAATCTGTTTTAAGTGTAAGAACTTTCTGCCAGCCCCTACTTGTTCCTCTAAATTTTGTAAAATGAACTTAAATTCCTTTAAACTTAAACTTTTACCCAGCATTAAGAAAAGACAAATACTAATTTCATGTTTCACAGACCTTATAGATCATATGCTTAGTTGTTTTTTTCATTTTGCAATTCCCTAAACAAACTTCTTCACACAATTCAAATTCATTACTTTTCAACAATTAAAAACTGCCAACTTTGAAGGTCTACCTATGAAAGTCATTTGGGTTTTATACTGAAGAAAAAACGAAAAATCTTGAATGAAATCAGCCAATTTTAACAAAGTCCAAGCCATTAATCCCTAAACCAACTTCAGATCCAAAAACTTTTAATCAAATCCCACCCTTTTCTCTATCTACAAGGGCTCTTTTAGCTCATTATCTGACTTGGGTAATCTGTAGGATGAACAAAAATCATGGACTGCTGTATTGACTTCATTATGTCCAGAACAAAATACTGAAATTTACTTCTAATAAACTTATAATCATGTATCTGAAACACTATAAATTCTAAAGTTTTATTCCAAGCTTTAAGAATAGTAAAAATTTGTATGTAACACTAAAAACCAGTACCTAAAACAATATGCTAGCACACCAGTGCTCTTTGTATATCCAAACTTCTAGAGCAAGCTGCATTTACCATTAATTTGTATTAGCAATGTACCCACCGGGATCAACTACCTAATATTAAACTTGTAGGAAAAAAGAACAGTATTCTAACTTTTCCCCTAATGAGCTATTAAGGATGCCTTTGATACTTTTTTCCTGATAGTATGAAGGTAAACAATTGAGAATGTGGGTAAGTAGGAAGTGGTGGTATCATTCATTTCCCTACCCACACCTGAAAAAAAACAGCAAGATATACAAGAAGGCAGCCTGTAGTAGGGGATGATCCAGATCATGCATATGGAACTACTACAAGCCATACCACATAGTAACAACTCTAAATACCAGTCACATATCTAACTCAAAGGTATGCTTCAGAAGCAATTTTTAAAGAAGATCTACAAAGTATACCACAATGACAAAAATTAGTTTTTTCAAAGTAATGAAATTTATTTCAAAATATCAAGTAGAGGTTCACCTGACATTTCATGGCCAAAAGATATGACCTAACTTTGAGATTACACTTCATAGAATTAGCTACAGTATCAAAAAGCAAGCCTCCAAAGCAGACTAACACCATTCTGTCACAATTTTAATACTGCACTGTTCTGGCTCTAAGAAGCAATGAATTGATTTGAATAAACTGCTAATTCTAACAAGTGGTATTCTTTTGGTTGTGCTGTAAGCAGTTTCAAAGTCACCATTAAGAACCAAAATGCCTTTCCAAAAGTTTTAAATTCCTACAAAACGATAGGGACCCTGCACTTAAAACTTTTAGTCTTCATTTTTCATTTTGTTTTCTGCAACACTGACAAATCAAGACTAAGCTATTTATTATGTTTCTTTATGGCCTCAATATATGAACTTGTTAAATTAATAACACACCCAGTCTCCAGATGACAAACTTGATTTGCATGTGTAAGGGTAATGAAGGGGATGAGCAGACAAAAACTATTTTATACATCAAGATACTTTAAAGGCGAATCGTTCTTTGGCTTTTTTTTTTTTTTTTTTTTTTTTAAATAGCTGTCCTCTCTTTGGTCAATGGGAAGAGAATCCCACCACCAACTTTCTCATACTACCAAATCCAGTACTAAACTAGTATTAAACAAAAAGCATACCTGGCTCTGACACCTCTGTTTTCGGGGTAGTTATTTTGTCCTCTCTTGAAATGCTCATTTCTGTCATTTGCTGAGTTACAGGCAAGGCAGCCACAGGCACATTTCTATTTGAGTTCAAGCAAACAATTTATAAAGATGTTAAGGGAACTACTTAAAATAGTAAGTTGTTAGTTCAACTTTGTAACATTATTGCCAACCTGATCACAAATGGAGCTAGATAACCAAAAATTAATAAAAAGAAATAATGGATGCCTAGTATAAAATAGTTGAGAAGAAAGCAATTTGACAAAAGGCTCATCAACAAGGACGCAATTTTTGTAGGTTACCATATTTCATTTTACCCAAGAATTTTAGCAGTGCTGTAAGGACAAAAGCAGCAGGTGTGCCAAACAAAACTTCATGTGGCACTATAATGGTCTGTAGAATTTTACTCTCCATAATTCCTAAACTTCAATTGTAAGAAAATAAAAACAGCACTTTCAACAGAATTCTTATGGGGTTCTAGAGTACTGTGTGTCACATGTAGATACCGAAGGACACTGAAATCCTAAACTGCACAATACATGCAAAGCCAAGGGCATCTTCAGTATTATTGGAATAACACAGACATCTGCTCTTATTCCAGTGTCGCAGAACTCTGAAATCCTTGGTCTTACCTTGATTTTTCAGATGTGCTGCCAGCAGCACCTTCACAGTTGTTTAAGCTTGTGTCTGCTCTCTGTACAGATGCAGAATCTGAGGTAGGACTGTTGGAACCACTAGCTGTCCCTATTAAAAAAAGGATTTGTAAGAAACAAACCAATGCCACACATACTTGGTATTGATTTAATGAAGTTAACAGTACCTACGTTTACTTAGTGATTTAAAGTCTGTTCACTGTGCTGCAATCCTGCCATTTACTTGAACATTCCACAAAATAATTTAAAATTAAAATAATTTGTGTCGTATCACAAGCATGACACAAAGCCTTCAAAAGGAAAACAAAAATCTAGAAGATGCTTGTAGATATTCCTGAGGTGCTTATGACAACTACTGGCCTGCTGCTTTAATTTGAAGTGTTTGTGGTGTCTTCTCTCCTTGCTGCATTCTCAGTCTCAGGCACTAATTCTGGATTCTTCATCTTTGTCCAGTAATTTTTCAAGTGCATTTTTCCCTGGATACAACTTACCCATTGGGCTCATTCTGCCACTATTTTGCTGCCTCTGAAGATGTTCTTTGTAGCAAACAGAACACATTCCATTTGTCCTAGGGTTCCCATAAAAGCCACATCCTGTACTACACAGCATGGGCCCTGGGGTCTGGTTAGTCTCCTGAGCCATCCTTGTTTGCTATAAACAAAAACAAAATAAAATATAATTGTAGAAACCAGCATGCCACCAAAATAAGAGGAGCATGATCCAGTCAACAATAGTACATGTAAGCAGAGATAATCACGAACTTTGTAAAATATGAATCACTTTTGGAGCAAAAAGAAAGCCATTTATTAATCCTGAATTCAATTCCCAAAATTAATCTGCCAGCATCAGGTTTGTTTTAAACAATTTGGGAGCTCCTCACTAGAGGTATATCAAGTGAAATATTTTTACTTAATTGGCTAAAAAATATTATTAAATTTGCAAATGAAAGGGCATATATACAATAATCAAAACCACTTCTTGATATTTATTGGTTGTTCTTCATACTGGCTAAGTATTGCATTTAAGTCTGAAAGCTTTCGTAAAGCTTTATCTGGACATACCTGGGCCTCATCCGTAATTTTAATTTCTACTGATGACAGGTATCTCTATATTGTTTAAAGCCAGGGCATACAAACCCACAACACAAATTAGCCATAGATTTCTCTGCCAAGCACCCATTTAGTTTTAACAAACACTGTCCTCATAAAAACTTCAAGTTTAATAGAATAAAGCAATGTGAATACATCACCTTTAGTGATTAATATTTAGTGCAGTGCTATAAGGTGTACACTACTTTTCTAAATAGAAGCACTGCTAAAAATTAGCACAACCATAGTAATATGGTGCTTAATAAATTTTCAGCTAAGAGAAAATACACAACTAGGAAAATTAAAGAATTAGGTAAAAAGCAGTATTTGAAAGAATTTAAAGGCAAATTCTGTACTACATTAACTTGTGGTCGCTCTCTTTCAACTACCATATATTAGAATATATTGAGTTAAAACCATGTTTTATCAAGTATTTATTAAGATTATAAAAATGGAGACAGGAAAATAATATCAATCTGACTTGGTGAGAATATTGACAATTAATCCATTCAAACACTTAAGATAATCTTTTGTAAATTAAACAGCATAGTATTTCAAGTAAATCAAGCTAGTTAAAATACCCTAACCACAACTAACAACTTTGAAACAATAGTACTAATTTACTTGACACTGTGTCTTTAAATAGTAAGTGGAATTTAGCTGACTCATTTGGAGCAGGGTAAACATTTCAACATCACTTATGAAATTTAATAAACACTTTTAGTTGAGGTTTTTAAATGTTAAGTACTACAAAAGAAAAAAATAAGTCAGGTAATAAATTATGTATTATTCCCAACATGCACATGCTAATCTGCCCTACACAAAAGTTGTGACACTCCTTAAAGCCAGTTTAAGGCTCACTTGCTATGCTTCCTATCATCTGACTTTGAAAGCACTTTCTTAAATTTAAGACCAACTTGATCAACACAAAGTAATTCAGTTAAGCAAAATCAAATATTTTTACGGAAACGAATTAGGGGAGGCGCCATCTAATGATGGCACCCGCTTTAACAATGAATTACCTTCAATTCACTATAAATAAATCTTGAACTCGGAGAAATCAGGACATTAGATCTTCTACTCGGTCTCTTATCTTTTAGAACCACCCCCGACCCCCGCCGCCAGCTTTTAAATGCCATCACATGTGCACAGCTTGCCTTAATATTTCTCAGAAGCTCAGATCACATGGGAGGGCGCTTCAGCCTGTCACAAGGCTGCAATGTGACAGGCTGAGCTGGATGGAGGCTCTCACATAAAGCCTAGTCAACAGGGGCCTCTGAAATCAGTTTCTATTTATATCTCACAGCCTGCCAACTCCTACACAACCCTAAGAACTAAAGATACAGCATTTCTGTATCTAACACTGTAAGAAAACAAAACAAAAAAATGCATCAGGGATGCCAGTTTTTTCCTAATGCAGGGAGGATCAGAGAACAATCTCAAAACCAGTCTATAAAGCCGAAGCATCAACAATCGTTTGTGACGCTAAAAATATGGTCAAGCTTGTTTATAAAAAATTAAACAGCAAAGAGCAGAAAGCATAAAGATCATATTTACGTGCAGTTACCTATGCAGGGAGGGGAAGCATGCACCCGTAGGTACTGCCTTTCTCCTTTACTCTTTAATAGCTATTTAGCACCTTGTTAGAAACTTGAAACAGCTTACACTTAGTTAAATGTATTTTTTAAAAATAGTACGTTTTGTGGTTTTTTCTGACTCCTAACTTTAAAAAACCTGGGTAACTAAAAACATCTCTACAAGACAGTAACCAATAAAAACAGCTTTTACACCTATGATTTATAGTTGTTTCAGGTGCCAGTGATGCTGTAAGGAGTCAGAACGTCCACATTTCACCTGGGAGTTGAGACGCGGGTTCCAGTCTTAGTCTGCCACTAATTAAGCCAATGACCTTGGCCAAGTCCTCACTCTCCGGATCTCAGTTCCTTCTTTCAAATGGAGACTTTCAAACTACTTTACAGGTGTAACAGTGGGCCTGAGAAGCAATAAATACACAGAACTACGCCAAATCCTTCGTAATTTTCGACAATGTAAGAAAAAAACTTGAAAAAATAGTATTTTCCACTAACGAAGATTCTTAAATCAGTATATTTACTTACACTTTATAAGCTTGAAAATCATCTAAATCTCCAATTTAAGAAAGGCCCTATAACCTATACACTACTTTATTAATACCTCTTCTTCCAGCAATAGTTTCAGGGGGCTCGATTCATAGCTAACCCAAGCTTCACCAAAACAAGCTCGACGGAACGCGTGGAAAACGAGCAAAACCCCCTTGCGTTCACCGGCCTAAATCCACGGAACAAAAGGAACGGTGCTCCATTTCCTCCTGGAAAGGATCTTGGGGGAGAAGCGCAGCGACGTCGGAAAAACTAAAAAGACGACGCAAAGAGAAGGCCGGCTGCATGCTGCACAAGGTTTAGACCCAGTTCGGGTTTCCCTCGTCCTCAACACCTGCTCGGAGGAGAGGCCTTGTTCACAGCAGCCCGGCCGGGCCTTCCCCAAAACCACTGAGTCATGCCTAACACGGCGGCTCTGCAGGCCGCGGCCCCTGTTTTGCGTCGGGGCCGCCGCCAAGGCTCCTCAGGGCGAGCGCAGCCGCGACGAAGCCTTTGTTCCCGGGCCCCGGCTGCCCCAGCCGGTCGCGCCATGGGCCTGGGGCGACCCGAGTGTCGCGAGGCCGCGCGCCGGACATCGTTCCGGGCCCAGCGAGAAGCCGGGCGCTGGGCCGCGCCGACAAGACGCCGCCCCGTCTTTGTGTCTCTGGGCGGTCGCTCGGCCCGCAGGTCCCCTGGCCTCACCCGCCCCGCCCCGCCCGGGGCCCGGGGCCCGAGGCCCCGCCGCTCACTCACCCTGCGGGGCCCGGATGCACACGCCGACCTCGCGAGCGACGCCGGGGCGCTGCGGCCGGGCCGAGGCCTCCGGGAAGGGCGAGCCGGGCGCCCTGGAGCCGCCGCCTCCGCCGCCGCCGCGGGGTCCTTCTTTGTTCCTGCAGCCGCGCCGAGCGTGGCCGGGACGCGCGCGACTCCGGGCGCGGGGAGGAGGGGCGAACAAGGGGCGGAGGGAGCGAGCCGGGGCCGCAGCCGCTAACGCTCCTCGCAGCGCTCGTCCACCGTCGCCTTACGCCTCCGCCGGTGGCCGGCCGGGCTGCTCCGAACGCGAACGGCGAGGCCTGGGTGCCGCGGAAATCCGCTGAGGGCGCTGTCCGTCGCCTCAGTCGCCGTCGGGGAAGCTGCGGGTGCGGAAGCGCGCGAGCACAGCCGAGCTGCAGCCCGCTCCACGACCCGGCCGACTGATGCGCGCCCAGCGGTGCGAGCGCTGAGAGAAGGAGCGGGGGCGGGGCCTGTCGTCAGCGAAAACCCCCTTGGGCAGCGGTGGCGGCGGCGTGGTGACGTTGCGGGCCCGAGGCCCCGCCCCCGGCCCTTGCTGATTGGCTGCGGGAGGAGGGCGCCGCTAGCTGCGTCGCCGTCTGGCGGAGGCGAGTCACTAGCTGTGCGGCCGGCCCCAGGGTGGAGCTGCAGCCCGCGGGTCCCGTGGAGGAAGCGTTTCTATTTTTAACCCGATTGTACGCCCTCGGCCTCCCTCCTGATTCTTCTCGCTCAGACCCGGTTTTCCAATCCTGGGTTCTCACGCTTTGTCTCCAGCCCTGAGCAGAGGCTCCCCACCCTCTCCGGCCAGGCGTTGGACGCCGAGGGCGGCCCCCGCCACCGGGCTCTCGCTCCCCCCCTCCCCCGCGCGTCTGCCTGATTTCGGCCTGGTGCGGCCGCCTGCTTACCCAAGGTCACGGTGGCGGCGAAGCGTCGGAAAACCTCGCCGCGAGCCCGCGGCTCACGACGTCACTCTAAGGAGCACAGTTTTTGGTCGGGCCGTGGCGCTCCCCGGAAGGTTGACTTTCCTCCGGGCGTCGCGAGCCGGCAGAGCGCCAGGTGCCCTAGTGAGGCCGCGTAGCGAGGGGCGAAGCCGAGCCGAAGCCCACATGGGCCCAGCGGTGAGGCAGGAGGAAGCTCCAGGGCGGGTCAGAGAGCAGGCAGGGGCCCGGCCCTTGGAGAGGGTGAGTCCTTCGCTCGAAGGCGACCGCCCCACTTGTGCGAGTGGATTTCAGCTCAGTTCAAAATTTCGAACAAAAGAAAAGACTTTGAAGTGTTGGCATAAGCAGTGATCTGACGAATACAGAGAACTTCAGGGCCCTCTTCTCCGCCATTGGAATGGAGAGGTCTCATCTGTGTCCCCATAATTCGTAATCAAAAAACCGAAAACAACCCGTTGATTATTTTAAAGATTTCCTGGGCTTTTTCCCTGGGTAGGGTTTTGTTTGATATGGGGAGAAGGTGAGGAGCCTGTAGTTTTAAATTGTGCTCCTGGCGATTCTCCTTTGCAGTATTGTAAACTTTGCTGCCCCGGTGACCTCAGCTAACCTTAGCAAATCAAAGCAGCTCTCTGCCATAATAAGCAGAATCTGGGACATAACCGAGTCTTAACAGGTTTTTTAAAAAACCTCTTTTGTCTTATGGTTTCACTAAATCAGTAAATGGCCCAGGATGGTCTCCTCGAATTCCTCCAGCGTTAGCCACCCAGAGGCTAGGGTAACAGGCTTGGACAACCAGGCCCAGCTAAACTCTGTAAGTTTTTGAAGGCCCGGAAGGTGTGGAGGTGAGGATGCTCAGGCAACCAGTGCTGCAGAAAATTAAGGCGGCACGTGGAACCTATCAGACAGCACTATCTTAAGTTCTCCAAAGATCGGGCAGGTTTTTGAGGATGTAGACCTGACTTCAGCCTGAGGAACACAAGATAGCAAAGAGCCATCGCCCAGCCGGCACCACTGTTAAGTCTGAGGAGCGACCGCAGAGCGCGTTTTTATTTGTTGTTTGTTTTGTTTTTAAATAAACTTAGAATCTTGTTACCTTTGTGCTCATCTTGACCAATTATTTTTTTCTGGACAGAAAGACCTAGAAACCACTTCCAGGAAACTCCACCACCCAGCAACACTCAGGAACTCAGCAACACTAAGAAAAGCAAAAAAAATTTAAACGCCCCCACCCCTACTCCACCAAGACTAGTTAAAAGTGAAACAATTCTTGAAGATAACTGAAAACAGGGATCTAAGGGTAATAAGGCAAGTTCTTTCTCATGATCCTGGGCCTTGAAATTTGGGCCTTTGCCCTGAGCTGAGAAAGTTCATTCCAGCTTTCTTTTAAAAATGTTTTTAGAAGGCAGAGTCTAACTGTGTAGTACAGGCATACCTTGAACCTGTGTAGCCCAAACTCAGGTTGCTACTCCTGCCTCAGCCTCCTGAATGCTGGGTTTACAGGAGTGCACCAGCGCACCCAGTTAATCAGTTTATTTAGCAGTGTTTATTCCCTGATATATGTTACAGAGCATCTTAATTCATCTAGTCATAAGTTTATTTCAAACTTTCAACCAGTAATATTGTTAGCGTTCAACCTAAACTAGTAAGATTCCCTTCCAGCACCTATTTCCTAGTGTTACCATTTAGTCCAGCCCATAATACTCTTGTCTACCTCGACTAGATCAACGGGAGGCCATTTATTCTTGGTGAAGTGGAAAAAGGATTTTTTTCCTTACCTAGCCCTGGGGAGATGAAGGAGCTTGTAAAAGTATACCTTAGGGGCTTTTATCCTAAGCAGCTAGGTGGGGAACACTGGTTTATTGCTCTCAGCACTCTTTTCTTTCACTCCTTTCCTGCTGGAAACTGGGCTTGGGCCTTTCACAGGTCCAATCTGCATCTCCCTTCACTTAAGAAGGGCTGGTAGTTTTGCCCCAGGCATGAGAAAGTTCATTAAAGCCAATTGTTAAAGGGAAAAAGTTTTTTGAAAGCTTTTTGCTATGTTGGTTACACTAGAGATTTCCACAGTGTGGCCCCTAGTAATTAAAAGGTTAAAAACGGATCTTTAAAAATTCGGCTCCTTTTTTTTTTTTACATAAACTGCTTCCTCAGCTTCTTGAGGCTGAGAGCATAAAGTGCCACTCTCTTCCCCTCAGCCCTGAAGCCAAGGAGGATTCAGCACTTTAAGGTTTCCAGCCTTGACTGGCCAAAGCTTGGCTAAATCTACATATGGATATTTTCTGGCTTTTGTTCTACCCTTTTAGAAAATTGGAAGCACTTCTATGCTTTTTGAAGGGACGAGCTGCCCTCCCACTTTGGAAGAATTGCAAATAATTCAGCTTTGCATTTCTAAGGACTTTTATCGTGCTTTTGGTAGAGGGGTAGCAGACAAGTTCAGAGAGCTGAGTTTAGATCCAGGCTTTTAACTGAGCACTGCTGGCAGTATTTACATGAGCGCTGTCAGCCTTACCTGGAACTTGTTAGGTTCATAAATTCTCAGGACCCTACACCAAATCTGTGGATCAAACTCAGAGTTGGCAAAGCATATGCATTGTATTTAACAGGTCTCCCAGTTGATTCTGGTACATGCTTGAGTTACTGACTTAACCCTGCCATCAGATGACCCTTTTTTCTTTCAGTGTCTCACACTGTGTGAAGGAAAAAAGTTTAAAAAATGAAAAAAAAAAATTTCCCAATTTTTCCTGGCCAGCTATGGTACAGCTATGCCGTAATCCCAGCACTCAGGAGGATGAGGCAGGAGGATCACTGTGAGTTCAACAACAGCCTGGGCTACACAGTGAGTTCCAGCCCAGACTGCACTACATAGCAAGACCCTGTCTCAAAAAGAAAAGTTTTCTAGTACAATTGATATAGGGGAATGAAACTCCTGACTTGTTTTGTGTTCAGTAGGAGTTTCTGTTCTCTAAAATCAAAGAATGAATTTTAGGAACAACGGAGGTTAAGAGTGGAATGTATTTACTGAGAGAAAGAAAGCTTCCAGTCTGAAGAGAGACAGAAGGGGTCTGAGGGTTGCCAAGGACTCTTTCCTGGGGACTTTTATAGAGTAAAATCATGAGTTTAGATGGGTCAAAGGTGGGGGAAAATGGGAACTTGCAAGGTGAGCATAAGGTGGGACAAAACTGTGGTCAACCAATAAGATTAATTGCTCAGGTAAAATTGATTAAATTAGCTTAGCAGGGTGGGATGCTGACTCCTGACTTCCTCAGAGTGGGAGAAAACTTATTTGGACTGTTGATCCTTAGGATGTGGCTATATTTGCTTTAAACTTTTGTCTTGAGATCTGGCCCACACCAAGACATGATTGTCTCTTCCAAGGCTGCAAGGTATCTGAACTACTGCTCTGGCTCCTTTGAGGGCCCAGCCCTGTCTGACTGCCTATAATATTTCTAACTAAGCTGCCTGTAACACGATTGTAACAGATTGAGAAGTTTGCTACCAAGGAAGTTTTTATTTTGGTCTGTTTTTGTTTTTCCGGTGATGTAAATTTTCAGGTAGACTCTAATAAACTAATTATTGAAAGGGTTGCTGGCCCAGGCTGGATACTGTAGCCGGCAAAGCCAAGGAGCTCCTATCTCCCCCACCCTTAGAAATTACTTCTGGCGCCAAACTAAGACCAGTGAGCTACCTGTGCATCCCTAATGCCCCTTAGGTTCCACCCCAGGCCGAGGCTACTTGCGTGCCTCACTCCACGTGTTCCACGGAGAGATCGCTGGCCCCGGGGTGGAGATGCCACGCCCCAGGGGGTCGGGGG